TCAGCCTTGTCTACAGCACCTCTCACTTAGTTGATTGTTTAATTTATTAACATAAGCATAATGTTTAATTTTTTTTCTTTCTGTTTTGTCTTTTGAAAAATTGAGTAATAGTGTTTTTTGTTGTTCGCATTTTATTCAATTTTTTGTATTGCCAAACTATTCAATATTGGGAGCAAAGGTTTGATTCAGCTAGACGGAAATGCTTTGCATAGAGCTAGCTGATCAGCTATACATACATACATATATTATTATAGATAAATATGTAATATCAACAGCTAACGCTGGTCAACGCCCTCTTTTTGGCATTTTTGATGCGACTTTGATTGATAGCAACATAGTCCAGCCGAAGATTTTTTCTCTCCTATTTTTTGTAGTTTTTCTTAGTTTAGTAGGAAACCCGTTTTGTCAGTATAACCGTCGATTATCTGCGGTTCAATGTACTTATCAGGGTCCATAGTTTTTGTACAATTTCAAGAAGAGAAGCAAAAGCAATGCTGTGCTAGCTATATGTACATACATATATGTACATACATACATATGTATCTATGATGATATATATTTACTTATATTCATGTGATGTAATATATTTCTACAATTGTTGTAACTTAACAGCGCGTTAAATAATAATTGTAAATTTTAACATATCTATCGCAATTCGACACTGTTCCAGAGCTCATTTCAAAAGCTTTACACTGAACACATTCTTTAATTATATATACATACAAAAATGTATATATATAAAAAAAACACACGTTTTGGAGGTTTTCTTTCTTTACATAGCGAATTTAATTAGAGTCTATACAATAATTTTTGGTAATTGGCATGCGAATTAATTCGAAAACACGATTCAGTTTAGTTTGAATAGAGATGAAAAGTTTCACAATAAAAAATTCGATATCTATAATGAAACATATTTGTTGTTACACTCTATGAATTTTGTATTCGAATTTAAAAATATAGATGCTATAAGCATTCGTATGCAGGGAGAATGGTATGTAATTCTGCTGAATAACATACAAAATTATATGTTCATGTATATACTGTATTTATAGTAGCTAAACAATATAATTTCGTTCTATATTGTTCTCAGTACTATGAGTGTAGCCAACTGATAAGGAGAGAACTAATTGGTATGGTCCGTTGATTATGTTGGGGCACAGCATGTCGGGCAGACCGGAAGTATTCTATTGATTAGCATATTGTATGCAGTGCCGGCAGGCAGGTGCCTAACTAAAGGCCTTATCAGCGCAGATGACTCACCATGCGAGATGAAATTTCAGCAGTCTAATCTACTACTTATAATGTATAATATAATTTAATATAATTATATATATATAGCATGTATCACTTTCGCTTTTTAAATGTCGGAATTTAAGCGCGTCACGCTGCGGTCTCCAATACAATGCTGATTATTAGTTTTGCCATGGAAACTGTTTGCGTAGGGATTTACGTTTCAGTTTAGAACTCGTCTTGGGATTTTCATTTGCTCTTCTGTGATAAGAGGCTAAATGGCAAAGAGTGCGTCAAAGAAAACACCATAAACAATCTTAAATCTTAAAACAAAGTTGTCTTTGCTGTCTTATACGTAGTCTTTTAATAACAACTGTATATTGAATCATCTATATACATATATTAGTTGTGTCTAATTAAGAAACGGGGTTTTCTCATCGTCACAAAGTGAAAAGTGGGTAGATTGGGTAATATTTGTCTGTTAGAATTAAGCACTTGACAATTTGATGTCAATATTGGTAACTTCTAGACACTTTATAACCTAAGTTCATCAAGTATGACGATGAAAACTTGCCTATTGGCTGTTATGCATTCTCGGAAGTGTATCGGTTTTTATAAAAAAAATTTAGGGAATGTCATCAAAAATGACTAAACTATTAACTAAATACCTTATTGTTATGTTTGATTGATTGATTGCTTGCCTGATTGCTAAATTTCATTATGGAAAATTTATTTACCAAAATCGAACTCGTTATCAGTATATTAAAAAAGTTGAAAAAGAATATTTTGCATAATAATCCAGTTTCTTAGTTGCATTATATACTAGTTCACTTGCGATTAGAGTGTAAAGAACAACGAATCGGAGAGATATGTTCAGGTATTTGACTTGTTTTTAATGAGTTCTTTAATTTGGCATTCGATTAGATAAAGACGCCCAGACACTGACCAGTTATCTATATCTATATATATTACTGATACGTCATGCCAGAAGATTTCACTTTTTACGGTAGGGGTATAGCAATTAACACCAATCGAATTTCGAGATAATAAAAAGCGAAACACATTACAATCAACATTACTTGAAAAGAAATATACCATATTATATTTCTTTTTGAATGATTACACTTTGCAAATAATTGGAACGTTAATTTGTATTGTGATAAAAGGTGATGATCTACGAATTTGTATTCAATGAAATTTGTAATATGTCTATTTCATAAGTTCCACTGCATGAGTGACTACTGTAAAACTTTCTTAACAGCATTTTTATCGATTGTTATGAATAAGAAACTACGCTTTCGGTCTTCTAGGTTTTGACGTCCGTCGTTAAACAGGTTCCTACTTTTTTAATGGAGGTCAGCAGAGGAAATGATACTAAAAATAAGTCACACCTATTATTAACATTTGAAAGCCCTCTTGACAATTAAACAAGTTTTCTAATGGCACATGTATATATTTATAAATATAAATAGTTTATATACATATTTATGTCTCATTATTGTAGTGAAATCAACTTGAGCGATAAATTGTACCGTTCCAACTAACAGTGGAGCTTGTCAAGTCGCGATAAATGCAACTGAAATCTATAATCTCTAGCGATAGGCCAGGCAATTCGCATTTGACTGATTGAAAATGATTTAGCTTATATTACGGTAGCTTTCAGATACCTGATTTCTAATCTGAAGTATCTGGTTCAAGGCAAGTCAAGTGTGTTTGCGTATGTATGTGGAGCTACAATAACAATCGACGAAATCACTTCAGCTTCAACTTCTGAGTTCGAAATGGGTCAAGAATTTTTTTAGCTTTTCTGAAAAAGTTAATTTTATTATCTCTCTGCGCATGCAAAACAGCGCAGCGTAGCAACAAATGTGGATGCTTACTGACCAGCACTGTCAGCTCTTGAGAAGCAAGAAAAAAGCTGGTTTTTTGATGATCAGAATTTTATTTTGTATAGGCTAGGTTAAGTTGGCTTTTAACTACGCTTCACTGTTTTTACTCCTTGAATGTGGCTATTTGGATATTAACCACATTGCATTTGGCAATAAAGATAACTGGTTGGATAAAAAATAATAATAATAATATTGTTTTATACACACCTCAGGCTGCCGCCGATTTTGTCGTGAATCAAGCTAAACTTCCAACACCGATGCGGTGGTTATTTATGCGCATTTGCAACATTTGTCCACCTCATTAGCATGAGGGCAGTACCGCAGCAGCTAAAATCTTCATCTTCAGCAAATTTAATGTTCAAGTCAAATAATTTGCTCTGTATGCGTCAGAAAACGTGTTTTGTATATTTATTTAAACAAAATTTTATTACTAAAACAAAAAGAAGATAAAGCAAAACTGTTAATGGAAGTTTCTAACGTTAATGTTTGAAAGAAATGAGTTTTCGTAAGTGCTCGATAAGTAAACTAATTAAAGCGAATATTTTTTTTAGTTTTCCTAATCTGCGGCCAATTAACATTTGAAGCAGAAAAAAATCTAGACGATAAACGAAATGTTCATTTCCCTTTGACAACCAACAAGTTTGTTAGTTTGACAAGAACAAAATCTGCTCAAGTATGAGAAATTGTTAAAAAAAAGTATATATTAAATAGTCGTTCTTATCAAAGCTTTACCAGTCAAAATCGAAAAAATTTCGTTTTATACTTTAATCGTTGAATTCATGGAATTATATTTGATGGAGCTTAAGTACACATTTTTAGCAATAATAAATAGCGATTTAGGCAGGTGGTAAATTATGATTAGATTAGAGAACCAATAGTAAAATCAGTACTGAAAGTAATTGATTTGCCAATTGTTGAGTTAACTTATTTATCGGCTCGAATTAACCAAAGCAGTCAAAGTACAAAATTGTACACAGTTATTAATGAAGTCGTGTGAAATAGTAGTCTGACTGAAGCGTATCAAATCCAACCGAAGCGGTACACAAAGGCTTGAGGTAGCTCAGTTAACGATATGTAAAGCAAAGACTCATCACTGTTAAGATTTATCGAATTGTCAATTGTATGCTCGTACACAAATAGTTCGCCCACGCAGAAAAGATAAGATAAATAACACCCAACTCGATAATTACAAGAACAGAACTGGAGAAGAAGAATGCAAAATGTTATTCCAACGTTGTTTTTGAATTCTTAGGCGCGCTCTCTGTGCTTATTTCCGTCAAACACTTGACACGCACACACAGCCACGCGAAATAATGAAGTTGTTTTTTAAAAACAACATACACATGTATGTATGTATGTATGTATATTATGTGCGCGCGTGTATGTTTATAATTTCCTTTTGTGAACTAAGTATTCTTGTTTATCTTTCGTTGCAGTCGCTTCACGTTCGTTGGCCCGTACTAAGCAAAGCGCGTATAACATAGATAGAAGCTAATAGTTTTTGGAACAATACTTCATCTTAACATTTGAGATTTACAACTGGAAGATTCGAGATGGCTGCTGTTGGCAACATACACAATACGCGCATTTTGCGCTTTCTCCTAGTTCTGATTGTCGTCATACTCACAATATTCATTTATGCATCATACTCAACGACTGCGACGCTAACGCCAACGCATATGCATGCAGCAGCGCCGCCGCCGACGCCGCAACAGCTGACAGCAGCTGGACATCAACAGCAGCAGCAGCAGCAACCGTTGATGGCGGCGTCGAATAATACAGGCGAATTCGGTCTATCGCCCGCAGAGGAACCCAGTATCAGCAACAGTATCAACAACAACAACAATTATAAGGCAAAGCAACAGGAACAACAACAACAACAACAACAGCATAAGAAACCCCAACATCGTTTGCCCACCATAGATGAAGACGCTCTGCTGGATGGAGGTGCAGCTGGCGCTAGTCCCATAGCGATTGGCAGTGATCAAGGCGATGAGCTGCTCGAAGAGCCGCAATATGTGCAAAGTATTGATGCAATTACAGGTGAGTAGGTGCACTAATTGTCATTGGCGATTGCTTATTAAAAACATTATTGCAGGCAACATCAACACTAACAGCAACAACAATAACAATAGCGAAGCTAAGCAATCAGCAGCGGCTGCTGTTGGCCAGCAACAACAGCAACTGCAACAGCAGCAATCGCCTTCAGACATTGAGGTTCTGATGATACCCACATCCAATTTGCAAAAGTTCATCGAGAATGCTGATAAGATATTGAAGAACATGACAGCTAATAGCAGCAGCAGCCCCAACAGCAACATCAACACGGCAGCAGTCCCAGCAGTACCAGCAGCTCCATCGGCAGCTGCTTCCGCGCCCAGCGAACAGCGTACGGGTTGGTTAACCAATATTGGGCGTGGCATGTTGGCTTGTTTTGTGCAAATTAAAAACGACATAGAACAAAAAATACCAACATTTATCTATGTCTCTGTCATGTCGAACTTTAAATACCCTGTCATTTTTAACTATTTAAAAACAGGTTGATGTTTAGCAAAACTCAACTTAAGAACTCTGCTACATATCACATTGTCCAGTCCTAATCACCAAATATCTCCCAGGGATTATTCTCACATATATCTAGTTAGGAGAATATTTAGGGCCATCAAGTTTTCAAAATACAAAAATAATCGAAGGTGTTTAATTGCCTTTTTTGAGTACAAAAAGTCTGTTAATATAAACTTATTCGCAAGGGCACGTAAGCACCTTTCAGCAATAGCTACATCCACCCATTGCTCATTAACTGAAACGTCTGTCGTTTCGTTAGCTTTTGTTTGCATTCTAATTGGCATACAGTGCGAAGTATCGCATTTCCTTAACGGTTGTAAATGGAGGGTCCGACAAAGAAAGGTTCGGCTTATTTGTTTGCATATTATACAACAGCGCACATGACGTGCCCATGCTCCATAAAGTATATAGATATTTATATTATATATATATATAAAAAATATATTATAATTGATTTTCCCCAGCAATTACTCACTTTTTTTCCCCATTTATTTACAGATAAGACCAATCAACCTGGTTTGATTGAGGACGTGCAATTAAATTTGCTGGATAATAACAATGGCCCTGTTGGCTTTTACGCTGTAATGCCCGTAAAAGTGATCGCAGAGGAGGAGAGCAAAAAGAAGGCGCCGACAGTTAAGCCAAAACCCAAATCTATCAACAACAAACCATCAAATAGTCCCATGGACCCCTCAAAAGGCATTCCAGCAGAGAGAATCTATGAGAGCGGTCATCTAAATGAGGAAATAGATGTGGAACGTATATGTCCTTCAAATGGATTAAATACTCGCCTACTTATCCTGATCACCTCTGCTCAGACTCATGCAGATGCTCGGATGTCCATACGCCAAACATGGGGACATTATGGAACAAGAAGAGATATAAGCTTGGCCTTTGTTTTGGGTCGTGGCACAAACGAGACAGTTAATGCGGCTTTAAGCCAGGAGAATTATCTGTTTGGGGATCTAATACGTGGCAACTTTATTGATTCGTACAATAATCTAACGCTAAAGACAATCTCATCGTTGGAATGGACCGATCAACATTGTTCGAGTGCCAAATATATATTGAAAACAGATGATGACATGTTTATCAATGTGCCCAAGCTACTGAATTTTCTCACACAACTTGAGAAGCACAAGCAAAAGCGCGCGATCTACGGTCGTTTGGCCAAGAAGTGGAAGCCCATACGTAATAAGAAATCAAAGTACTACGTATCGACTGATCAATTTCCTGCGTCTGTATTTCCGTCGTTCACAACGGGACCTGCTTATGTAATGACAGGGTCAATAGTTCATGATCTATATGTTAGATCATTGAAGACCGTCTATCTGAAGCTGGAGGACGTCTTCACTACAGGAATTGTGGCACAGAGTTTGGGCATTGAGCGTATGCATGTGACTGAGTTTGTCAATCGTCGTATATCGTTTAATCCATGCAATATAAGAAATGCAATTAGCGTCCATATGATCAAATCGAATGAACAATTCGATCTGTGGAAGAAGCTGCTGGACCAGGCCACGAAATGTAAATAGTATTTTAGGTTTAAGCTGTGAATTTAATGTTTAAAGCGAAAGAAAAGGCAGCTAGTGGCAGCAAATAGTAAATATCTTAGTATATTAAGTATTAGAAGTATGTATCTATATCTTATATATACTCGTGTTAAATGCATACGATTTTTAATGTACTATCACATTTGTTTTTAATTACGTTATGTTTTGTAGCTTAATTGTAGCATTATAAATGCCATTAATTAATTATCTAATAATTAGCTATAATTCTGTTAATAAGTATGTTAACGCAAATGAAAAAAACAAATCGAAACAGTCTCAAAGAAAATTATGGTCTATTGTGGTCACCTGTGTTTCTTTTTATTTTTTTGGAAATATAAAAAGGCAGCTCTTTTAAGTATAGCAAATTGTGTTTAAATCTAGAATGAAATGTCTGCTTCATTTAGTTGCAAACAGTTTTTAATGGAAAAGAGCTACGTATGTATTTCAAAAATTTGAGCGGTGATTCACGCAAGTTCGATAGTCGATTAGTTATGTCATATTTCGGTTTATACTGAGTGCCCTTATTGAACCGCCACAAAAATACTAGTGATATGATATCGATTAAAGCGGCGATATTCACAACCATCCTTAGTAAATTCATAAAACTTAAATATTTTAAGAGAATATAATTTTTTACATGTGAGATAAATATAATAAAGGCCTAAAACAATTATATTTTTATTAAACGACACCTATTAACTTAAATTAAGTAAAATTAACGTAACTAAGTAATACTTTTTAATTAAGTGTGACACTATCATATGCGTCTATAGAGCAATTTATGTAATTATAATAGCAAATTGTACAATGTAATTCTAATATATCGTAGTGATCATAACATAATTTCAAATATATATCGATATCGATACCGATAGCAAACACAACGTGAATTTTAAATCGAATTGGAACTGAACGAAATGAACGGAACGAAAAAATTCTTAACTGAATACTAAACTGAACGCTTAGCTCGACTCTTGAGTGTTATTTTTATTTCGTGTCGAATTTGTGTGCAACAAATTATTTACGTGTTAATTTTGTGAACAGAAGAGCTGCGATAGGGGTGCGCAATTAGACGAGCTTCAAATTTTACAACGCTTCATGTGTCGTTTAATGCGCCAACAACAGCAACAAGTGGTGCCACCACAGAAAGCCAAGCGATCAACGCCAAGTCAAAAGAAAATATAAAACCAAAAAGTAAGCGAAATTATTGTCAGCTATTTATATGGTAAAAAGAGTTTGCGTGGTTGTTCCAACAAAATATATATAACTCGCCTTGTAATTGCTAAGCAAAGTAAGCTGGCGCTGTGCGTGTGTGCGTAAATTTGTATATACATATATGCTAGTGTGCGTGTGTATGTGTAAGGCTGCCTGCTTAAAGTACGCTGCGCAGCTCTGTTTGGACCAGCGTCGCGGCATATATGTAAAACAAACAAAACAAAAAAATCGGCCAGCAATAACAACAACGGGCACTTTGACAATACAAACGTAACGGGGGGTGTTTGACTGCTCTCTTTGATTGCTGTGTATGTATGTGTGCTTGTACATATGTATGTATTATTTTTTTTGGTGTGCCTTTGCCAACCAAGCCATTATTTTTTAGTCTTATGACGTAAACCACCGAAAAATCAAAAGTGAACAGAGCGACATATACACTAACACACAGAAACACAAATACGCGTACATGCATAACGACGCGAAGGTGAGCGCATTTATAAATTCTTGCTTTAAGTCGCGCCTCTTGTTGTTTTTGTTGTTGTTTTGATAATCGTGTCTTCTTGGAATTTAAGCATTCCAGAGCACGTTTCTTGCATTTCAAAGCCGTTATATTTGTAGTAGCTGTTAATAAATTTGAAAGCCCGCCGAAATACGGACGATTGTTTACAACTGCCGTACATTATGTTCATTAGCAGCGAAGTGCATTAGCTTCTATGTAAACAAAGGTGTTATACCCTGGGCCAATTGCAATTGGAATGAAACAAAGAGTATACTAGATTCCATACAAAATGATGTACATATTCATACATATGTATGTATATAGTGTTTGTGTGTACTTATGTACATACATATGTATGTACATATATTCATACTTTACAATGTACAGTTAGGTCAAGTCATACATGTTTGCAACTCTACAGGGTATGCACGTACTCGAACAATTGTTATAATTGCGGCTGCATTGGCCTATTCAGGCACTGAAGCGATTACAACAGAATACAACAGCAGCGGTAAATTCTTGAGCTAAAGAAATCTTGTTGAAAGCATTTCCTACTCGACATGAAAAGAAATTGTGTTGCCCTCTGCTGCGAAGTAGCTGTTAAAACTATTTTGCAATACAGCAGGCAGACAGACACAGAGCCGGCAGGCTGACGAGCCCATTTGCTTAAGATCATTCACAGTTCGAATGTGATGACATCAGGCAGCTGAGAAACCAGTCTTTCAAATGATTCATAAAATTCAAGCTTCTAACCAACAAGCAATATCTATCGATAGAGCCGCAAATTCAAATATTAACTGACAAAGTTGCATTCGACGGCCACCAAGTGATTCACGCAAACACACACTCACAGAGATGACCCCGCGCAACTTTTATCGTTTGCTTGCTTGCTCTCTCTCTCTCTCTCTCTCTCTCATGAGCTCTCTTCATATTTTCAGTTGTTTCCTATTTTGGTAATTATCGCGTCATGTTTTTTGTTGTCGTCGTCAGTCCACTCAATAATACTTAATGTTTATGTGTTTATCAATTTGTTTAGTTTAGCTTTTTAATTTCAATACCCATATTTGTGTTTGTAATCAACAGTTTTCACGCACCACGTGCCGCAACTTCATTATTGTTTGCATGCTTATTAACGGCCAGAGATGATGAAAACCATGTGAATTATTTGCGACAATTGCGGCAATTATTATCGATTTAGTTTCATTTTGTATGTAGTATGTATTTGTACACATATCTGTTTTCATAAATGATTCATTATTAATTTTGCGATTAAACTTATCAATTTGATACATGCTTGAGTAGGGCCATTTGTTAGTCGCTCAGAGCTACATACGAAATATTTAGCCGTTCTTTGCAGCCCGAATCGATTCAAGTGCAGGGAGCTGGGACCTAGTTCTTAGAATTAGATTTGGTTCATATGAGCAGAGGCACGCGCTCATCACTAGTCCATTTGTAGCTCTGCTTATACTCCACTGCCTGTTTGTTATTACGGTAAATAAAGTACCGGCAGCATCATCATTATCGTCGTCATCATCATCATCATCATGACTATATTTCCAGCTGATTTAATCAAGGGGATGCGTTGCGCGTTAGTGCCTCGTCGCAGCTCGGGGCGTGCAGTTCAAAGAGAGATTGTTCTGCTCCCGTTTGTAAACAATGAACAGCTGAGCAAAGCAAAAACAAAAAATTGAATAAAAAGAAAATAAAAGGCAAAACCTGCGCATGTCCAAGACTAATAAACATAGACAAGCACACGCACACACAAATAAATTTGCAGCCGTGCAGCGAAATGCGTCTCAAAAAACTACGGTTCGGTTGCTTATTTTAATTTTTTCAGTTTTAATTGATTTTTAATTCATTTCAACAATCTAATTATTATTTTAAAAATTTTTGTAGAATGTCGCGTCATGAAAAATCGAAATCGGTGGGCGGCGGCCTCTTGGAGAGCTGGTTCGGACGACCATCGAAATCAAAAGGTAGCGGCACCTACAACAGCCATTCGCTGCCCCATGGTGCCGGCGGTCGACCCCTGTCTACGGATAACGAGGGCGGTCTCGTTGGTGTGGATGAACTGCAGCGGCACATTCAAGACCTAAGCGAGGCGGAGGTGAATGCCAGATTTCTGGAGATTATCGAAGATATGAATATACCCAAGGACAAGCGTGAACCGCTGCTCAACAAAAACATGGAAGAGCGCCAAAAGATGATATTCATGCACATGAAAGGTAAGCTGAATGGAATGAGGAAGGGGGAGGGGGACGGGGACGCAGCGCCAACAAAGACAAGCAGATAAGATTGACAACTGCACACAATGAGTAGATTGAACGCTAGACAAACACAGTGGTTGTTCGCTAAGTGGGTCGCTAAGAATGTAAACTTGAGTGACATATGCAAAAAATTTGAAGCACAAAAAAACATTTAATCTGTTTTATTAATCTAAGTGTTCGACTAGTTATTGATAAAAGTTACTAGTAAAGTACTCATTGACTGATGGAGCAGTTGTTTAATGAGGAAAGCATGAGCAGCACGTTTAAATTGCTTAGAACAGTTGAACATTCTTAAAGTAACAAAGTAAATAATTGCACACTTAACTAATGTTTTAATTGCTTCGATTTAACGCAAGTTCTCATTTGCGAGTAATTACTGTACAATCTTCATGTGTTTTTGCCATGTTTTGTATCTGAGTTGGCAGAATTTCTATTCAATTATCACCTCGTACTGCGCCTCTGTGCTATTTTTGCTCATGATTCATCATTCGGCGCAGTTTTATTGGAATGTAACGTTATCATGTATTGGTGTATTCTATTTACGATATGGATTAGGTTATCTGAACTTGAAGTGCACTAAGGCCACTACAATCAATGCTTTTTGTATTGCTCTAAAAGCAAAGCTTGCTATAATCAAAATCAAATTTCAAAATTTTGATTTTTAAGAGCCCTTAAAGGTTGCAGTTGCACATTTCAATTAACTAACTTGAAGCATATGCAAATTGGAATTGCCCAAACATTACACACACACACCTGCCAGGTAATACACTGGCCTATCTAATGACGAGCACAACAACAACAGTAACAACAAAACAGTTTCATTAATTAACTCAAGCGGCACTCGATTGTAGCATTTTAATTAACAGCTGCTCATTGTGGCTGTAGTTGAGATTGTGCGCACAATTAAATACACTTACTGTAGATAAATATATTATTTAATTGGCACAAAGTTGTTTAATCAAAATGTATTCAATTCACCTATGTATTTAGGTAAGGCAACCACCATGAAACTGTAGCTCGCTATCAGTTTGGCGCCATCTAGTGTTGGGTAGATGTTTTAAAATATAAACATTCGTTATTGCATGTTAGACACAGGTTGAGTTTGCATTGTAAATGAAAAGTTAATTTATTTTTGTTTAAAATTATCAATATCATCTTCTGATGTACATGTTAAATTTTCCAGTAAGTATTATTTGTATTTTTATTGTACTTTTTGTTTAGCAAGAATTCGCGAAAAATATTGTGGCTGTTGATTCAACTCGAATTGGTTTCTTCCGCTAACTATTCCGCTGCAGCTGTTTTCTGTGTTAATTTAATATGTATATATTATACAATGTTAGATTTGGATTAGACTGCTGTGGCTTGAGAGATATTTTTAAAAACTTAGACTGTCTGTTAAGTTTGCTATGAACATTTAACATATTATTATATATTTCAAAAATTCCAGAATCCACTTCTTATATACCCATATATGTATGTATGTACATATTTAGCAATTTGTACTTATGCAACATAAGTCTGAAGAAGTAGACTTTACAGATGGCAAAGATAAAATTTATGATAATTTAGCTCTTTAAAGTTGATAAGCACTGTGCTATCTGAGCGATATATGTATATGGCCATAGTCTGTGATAAGGTTATCATAATTTATGCAAACATTTGATAGTTAGAAATATTCTACAATAATTTCAAGTTCTTAAGCAAGTATTTCAAACACTCGACCCATAAACTCTATTTCATGTTTTGTGCACATAAAGCATAAACATACCTATAATATATATGTATGTGTATATATTTTTTGTATAAATAATTTTGAACTCGGGTCGCTGATGCTTTAACGATAAACAACAACCACTGAGTTTCAATTATTGTTGTTCGTTTTTTCTTTCGCTATTGTTTATTTCTTATATGCCAACCTGTGGCTGTATTTGACGCCTCCTCCGTTCACGTTTATTGAGCATCATTTGGATATATCATCACCTTTTATACAGCATTTATTTTCAGTTGATTTTGTCATTTAAACACGTACGGGCAAACACACATTTATGCATACAATTCAGTGTGTATTTGCCTGTGTGCGTATATATGGATATGCATTACGTGTAAAGAGTATAAAAAAGAAAGCTTTTGGCATCGATGATCTATGAAGTTTGCCTTGTCGCACTTGTCTGTGAGTGCTCTTTGGGCTTCTCCTATGCATATGTTTCCCACCCTCTCGCTCGCTGCGCAAGAGAGGCGCAGTATTTGTTTAGTTGTTATGCCGATAGCTGGACAGAGAGCGAGAGAGTGAGAGAGCCTTGCTTAGTTCTTATTGTTGTTGTTGCTATTTTTAACAGTAACAGTTGCCGTGTGCATTTTACACTTGATTTTTGTCTGCTCGCGCAATAACAATTGCAAAAACAAAATATCAACAAATTCAGCGTCCAGTCGTCTGCTTCTAAAGCTCTTGACGTAATTTTAAACATATACATACATACATATGTACATATACTATACTTTTTTCAATGATTATCTCAATAAATATATGCGCATAAAGGCCGCAGAATGTTGATGCATTTTATTATGTATGTACATGTATCTTTGTTTTTTTGTTGCGAATTCAGCTAATGGTTTGTGATACAACAAAAAAGAAAATAGTCAAGGTTACACTTAAAGTAACCGTTAAGAATCGTTTCCTCTCGCTGATAAAGTCACACCAGACACAGCATACGCATTGAAAAGCTTCAGATAAGGAAGCCTTGGCGCACCAATAGCAACAGCAACAAAGCGAGTAACTGGAGCGAGACGAACTGACTGCTTGGCGTGCTTGATTTACAGTTAAATTAAATCTGTCTTCTGGTTATCTTTAAAACAGTAGTTTAAGCCTATGTAGTTTTAATGTGGCTTAACCGGATGTTAAGTGTGTATTAATTAGCATTTGCATTAGTATTTATGTGTAATTTATAGTTACTTGAATAGATGTATTTGCATATTCATTTCGAACTGTAGTTAGAAATCTGCTAATCTAACTTATTATAACTATATACATTCAATTTGTTTGCATAAAAGCTATAAACTGTGCAATTTATATGTAAGTATGCTTTTGAAGAAAAAACTTGATTCACTTGACACGTAAGATAACATACATGTGGACATATGAAGGCTTCTTTATTATTTTTAAAAATCTGAGAGTGTGCACATCAAACAAGTTTCATGTTGCAATTGTGCTTTTGAGAATTTGACTAAATTGCCTTAAATTATAGTCTACATACACATGTATGTCGTAATGTTTGCCCAGTAGAAAACACTACGTGACACATGCTACATAATGCTAAATACGTGCCAAGTTGTATTTGAATTACTATTACAGTTTAAATTATTTTCGGTATAATTGGTCAACAACAAATATATAACATCTAATTATATATATTATACTTTATACATTATAATTAATTGTATAATTTATTTTTCGAATTATTATTCATTAAAATAGTGAAGCACATCCTGAATAAACCCCTTTCGAATTTACACATCCTTTGAACAGGTAAAAACTCACTGGAGCGCAATACGAATTCCCGTTTCGAGAAGCCGATCGACTATATCGAGTATTTGCAGAATGGAGAGCATAGCGAGAATAAGGTGTATCAATGCGTGGAGTCATTGCGTGTGGCGCTCACTAGCAATACGATATCCTGGATCAAAGAGTTTGGGGAGGCGGGCATAGGGCAGATCGAGAAACTTTTAGCGCGTGCCAAAACCGATCGCTCCTATGAACGCATTGAATTTGAGGCTATCAGATGTCTAAAAGCGATTATGAATAATACTTGGGGCTTGAATGTGGTGCTTTCACCCGAACAACATAGTGTGGTACTCCTGCTGGCACAATCACTGGATCCACGCAAGCCACAAACCATGTGCGAAGCCCTGAAGCTCTTGGCCTCCTTTTGCATTGTATACGAAAGGAATGGATACGAGAAAGTACTGAGAGCCATTACCACAATAGCCGCAACGTCCTACAAGGCCAGCGAGCGATTCAGGCCAATTGTGGATGCCCTATTCGCATCCGATAAACATGATCCCAAGCGAGAGCTGGCCGCACATAGTCTGATCTTTATAAACACGTTAACAAATACGCCCTCAGATTTGAATTTCCGACTCCACTTGCGCTGTGAGATCATGCGCATGGGCCTCTACGATCGACTGGATGAGTTGAAGGAAATTGTCGAGAGCAGCAACAATGATACACTGCAGCAGCATTATAAGATCTTTAAGGATGTGCGCGACGATGATTTCGAGGAGTTTGTGCAGCGCTTTGATAACGTCACCTTCAACATGGACGATGCCACCGATTGTTTCGAAGTGCTTAAGAATCTGGTTACAGACACAACATCCGAGCCGTATTTCCTGTCCATATTGCAGCATTTGCTGTACATCCGCGATGATTTCTATTTCCGACCCGCCTACTATCAGCTGATCGAGGAGTGCATAGCTCAGATTGTCTTTCACAAGGGCTATTGCGATCCGAACTTTGAGAATCGCAATTTTAATATCGACACCTCAGTGCTGCTGGACGATATTGTGGAGAGGGCCAAAGCCACGGAGACACAGCGATCCGAGGAGTATGAGAAGAAGATCGAGGCACTGGAAAGTGCCAAGCAGGAGGCGGAGGCCAAGGCGGCGCATCTCGAGGAGAAGGTCAAGCTAATGGAGGCGAATGGTGTGGCAGCGCCATCACCTAACAAGTTGCCCAAAGTCAATATACCGATGCCGCCGCCGCCGCCAGGCGCTGGCGGCGCAATGCCACCGCCGCCACCTCCTATGCCCGGCATGGCTGGTGGACCTCGGCCGCCTCCACCACCTCCTATGCCTGGCATGGGTGGCCCACGTGCACCGCCACCTCCGCCAATGCCCGGCATGGGTGGTCCCCCACCTCCTCCAATGCCTGGCATGATGCGACCTGGTGGCCCGCCACCACCGCCCATGATGATGATGCCCATGGCGCCGGTGCTGCCGCACGGACTGAAACCCAAGAAGAAATGGGAGGCTAAGAATCCCATGAAACGTGCCAACTGGAAACCCATTGTGCCCTCCAAGATGTCCGAGAATGCATTCTGGGTGAAGTGTCAGGAGGATAAATTAGCCTCCGATGATTTCCTGCAAGAGCTGGCCATTAAATTCTCCTCAAAACCGGTGAAGAAAGAGAACCAAAAGGATGCCGTGGACAAACCAACAACGTTGACCAAAAAGAATGTCGACTTGCGTGTGCTCGACTCGAAGTCTGCACAAAATCTTGCGATTCTACTTGGTGGCTCCTTGAAGCATCTGTCCTATGAACAAATTAAGCTCTGCCTATTGCGCTGTGATACGGACATCCTGTCCTCCAATATCCTGCAGAATCTTATACAATATTTGCCTCCGCCCGAGCAGTTGAAACGTTTGCAGGAGATCAAAGCGAAAGGCGAACCACTGCCGCCCATCGAACAGTTTGCGGCGACCATAGGTGAGTAAAAGGAATAGCCTAAAGTACAGTAAAACATCTCTAAAAACTATATATATTAAACTCTTTAATTCTGTTTCTTTTAGGTGAGATCAAGCGCTTACTGCCACGCCTTCACAATCTAAACTTTAAGCTCACCTACGCGGATTTGGTGCAGGATATCAAGCCGGACATTGTGGCCGGCACAGCGGCCTGTGAGGAGATACGCAACAGTAAAAAGTTCTCAAAAATATTGGAATTAATCTTACTGCTGGGTAACTATATGAATTCGGGTTCTAAAAATGAGGCAGCCTTCGGCTTTGAGATATCCTACTTGACGAAGTTAACGAACACCAAGGATACGGATAACAAGCAAACGTTACTGCACTACTTGGCCGAGCTAGTGGAGAAAAAGTTCCCGGATTGTCTGACGTTCTATGACGATCTGTCGCATGTGAACAAAGCGTCGCGCGTGAACATGGATGCCATACAAAAGAATATGCGACAGATGAATGCGGCCGTTAAGAATCTGGAAACAGATCTGCAGAATAATAAAGTGCCTCAATGCGACGACGACAAATTCACTGAAGTGATGGGCAAATTCGCAGCCGAATGTCGACAGCAAGTGGATGTGTTAGGTGAGCTATACGAAGGGATCTCTAAAGTGATGCTCTGAATAATCTTTGAGCTATATTGAACTGCTCTGCTGTGATCTGTGAACAATATGTCCACAATTTATAACAATAATTAATAAGTAATATTTTCCCATGCACAGGTAAAATGCAGGTGCAAATGGAGAAGCTGTTCAAGGACCTCAGCGAATACTATGCTTTCGATCCGAGCAAGTATACAATGGAGGAGTTCTTTGCCGATATTAAGACGTTCAAGGATGCCTTCCAGTCGGCCTACAACGATAATGTGCGCGCACGCGAGGAACTGGAGAAGAAGCGACGCATGCAGGAGGCGCGAGAGCAATCGCAGCGAGAGCAAATGGAACGACAGCAGCGAAAGAAGGCAGTCGTAGATATGGATGCTGCACAGGCGCAGGAGGGCGTTATGGATAGTTTGTTGGAAGCGCTGCAAACGGGCTCGGCCTTTGGCCAACGAAATCGACAGCCACGTCGCCAGCGGCCCGCAGGTGCAGAGAGAAGAGCCCAATTAAGTCGTAGTAGATCGAGGACACGGGTGAACAATGGACAGCTAATGACGCGAGAGATGATACTAAACGAGGTTCTGGGGTCGGCGTAGTTTGAACTGAGATTTAACCGATTGGATGTACATATATAAATAGACATATATATATAGACAACTAAGTGCGTAGACATTAGCCAGAATGTATCTATATTTTTGTATTTGTAACTGTAGCTAAGCGAAGCTATTGAAAGACCAACTAAAAGTAGTAGAAAGCATCAGTCGATCACAAGCATGCAGACTCGTACTTAGACAAGGCTTAGATATTAGCCAGTATGTCTGTATCTATATATCTGTATCTGTAACAAAGTGAGAGACGAACTAATTTAAAATCAGCAAAGTTGTAGACATTGTTAACAATCATATCTATCTATATACATACACAACTATACATGGCATCGGCCTAGTCTACCGATCTATATTTTTGATACGCTTTTATCTAACTTTCTCATTTTGTCACATTTAGTCAAAAAATACTTTCGCTTGCGGCTTTTTGGATTCCTTTATATATATACTATATATTATTGTTATTCTATGTCAATTGTTGTGCACTTCGTTTTCGACGCACAAAATGAAAAAAAAAAAAAAAAAAAAAACGGAAACTATTTTAATATTATATTTGATTCCTTTTGTATTTAATTTAAATTTAAGTTGCATTTTAATTGGACTCGCATTTTTATATTGTTGTTCTCACATAACAATTTGTTAATTTATATATAAATATATTTTTTTTTGTGGTAAAATTGATGTATTCATATATAATTTAAATTAAATACTAAAGTAGAAATAGAGCAATAACATTTGAGAGAAGAAAAACTAAAATTTTAACTTGTAATTATGTAATTTTCTACGATTTAGGAATTAAATTCCCACAAAATGCTAAAAACAACTTGAATGTATGTGTGTTTTTATTGAATATCA